TAGCTAGAGGTTCATATATCTTAAGCTCTGGGCTCTGGGTCTACATAAAGCTTCAACTCTCTTAGAGCAGAGAAACCTATATACTCCTTTCGTTAAGTGACGCCGCACAAAGACCCAACGAAATATATGTGAAATGGGGTTCTTGTGGCTGTTTTGCTGCTGCTGCTGTTTGGTTGGTGGCAACGAAATTCCCACGGCAGAGTTTGTAGACCCTCAACAGCAACAACAACATCAAGCAACAACAAGCAACATGCAACACTTGTCGCCTGTTTATTCGTCTGTTTGTTTTTGTTGTTCTTGTTTTTGTTTCGTTGGCTTACCCGATATATGCAAAAAGCACTGTGTTAATGTTGCCATCGCCAAGCCGGAGGCGAGCGCCGTGGCCAGGAGCACGGATGAAACACTGGCACCCACACCGGCGCCCGCCGCAGCGCCGCATACGATGAACACGTAGAGGAACGAGGCGAGGCACTCGCTGATGATGGATCTGCAAGGAAGAGACAAAGCGGGAGGCGGGGGGTTAAAGCAAGACACTTCAGTTGGGGCATGTCATTTCATATGATTTAAGTAAATATTCAAGAAATTATGTTGCGCTACAAATTGCAAACACAATGTGCGCCTTGTTCCAGGCCCAATGACAATTATGCACACACAGAGACACAGAGAGAGGGAGAAGGAGAGAGGGGGACTGAGATGGAGGGAGTTAGCTTTGGGGTTCCGCAACCAAAAAGCCAACAGACACTGAGCAGAGACAGCAGCTGCCGATTGCCCGGGGTCGTCGTCGTCGTCGTCGTTGCTGGACAACCAGAAAACATAAAAAACAAATGGACAACGCCCTCCATGACAGCAGGCAACTACTGCTCCTCTGCCTTCTCCTGCTTGCGCTACACTTCTGCCCCGGCACCCTCTCCACCTTCTTCGCCTTCTCCTACTCTGTCCCACTCCACTCCTATGCATTCTCCTGCTCCCCATGCCACTCCTACTCTCCGTCCTTCTTCTACTGCTCTACCTCCTCCAACTCCCTCCCTTTGCATTTTTGCGATAACGAAAAAATCAAACAAACTGCTGCGATGGCAACATAAACATTGCCAGCTCCAGCTGCAATTTGGTTTGCCAGAACTTTGCATTTGTTAATTTCCATCAAATTTCTTGTTTAACTTTTGCATTATTCTGCTCTTCCCTAATTGGCTCTAACTGCGCGCTCCCACTCGGACTCTAATATAAGCATATACATATATATGTTTTTATATGTTTTTTGTAAATTTTTATAAATTTAAATGAAAGTTCGCCTCAAATGACCTGCGTATGTCCGTGACAGCGAATTTTCAGTACAATTTTAAAAATTCACAAAAATAATTAATGTAAGCCAACAAAGGCGGAGAAGGGGAGGAGGAGGAGAACCAGCGGGAGAACTTATTTAAACTGCGCTGTCCAGCGCATTGCTGCAATTTAATTACTTTATGGACTTTTAATGAAGCGGGCATTAAATTCATATATAAAATGGACCGTCAGCAGATATTTAAAGGAAAACAATTAAGGGACGGCCATAAAAATTCTACTAAAAATTAGCCTGCATTTTAATATTGCTTAAGAAATCTTAGCTACGGATTTTGAGCTTAAAAGTTGAGGAATTAAAAATGGTTATAGAAAAATTGCTTAACAAAACAAGTTAAATTCTTATTTTCTTTTTTTTATCATATTAGTATTACAGTAATAATAATAATATGATAATAAAATATGCGATAATTTTTTTCATTCTGCTAAATAATTTTTATAGTATTATCAATTTCATTTTTATAACCCAACAAAAAGTCTTTGAGTTTTCTTAAAATAAAAAAAAAATTGAAATCTATAAAAATATAAGCACAACAAAAATAAACACTTATTAAAAATTTCCTGAAGAAAAGCAAATTTGACCATGTGCAGTGTAACTAACAGATATAAACGGTAAATACAGTGTCTTGAAAATCTGGCAGTGATTTTAATAATCGCAATTATCGATTATTATTGAATTGATTGATTATTAATTAACTAAATTGCCAAATGACATTGAAATAGTCTAAGCAAAAAGTGCTAGAACTAGAAAATACCCTTCAATCATGCAAGTCTAAAAATAACTGGATAATCGTTTATCAAAATTAGCTGAACTGACTCCCATTTTAATTAATTGTCATTCACTTGTGAATAAATGTTTGTCATTGTTTGGCCGCAAATGTCTCCAAGATCCAGACAGACAGACACAAAGGCAAACCACTTAAATTTCACTTAGTTAAGCATCACAGTACTGTAGTTCAGCTGGCTGGCTGTCGGCCTCTGCATTATGCACGCAAAGCCACAAAAGTTAGAATTCACAATAAACAATAAAGGCTGGGGAACAATGCGAATGATAATGACTACAGTTGTGGGCGGACTGACTGACTGAATAGCTGACTGACTGTTAATGCTAATGGTTCGTTCGGATGCTGTTGAATGCCCACCTCCAGAACTCCAGGGTGCGTATCTCGGCCTGCATGCTCCGCTTGGGCACCTGCAGGGTGCTCGAGAGCCGATTGTTGATGGTGTTGCCGTGCGAATCTTTGCGCATCGCCTCCAAGCGCTCAAACAATGTGACTATATGATAGTCTATATTGTGCTCCAGCGGCATTGTGTGTAGGCTCTCGTCAGCCATGGCGCGTGTGTGTGTGTGAGTGAGCTTTGTTTATCTTTTCGATTAGAGTTGATGGAACTGACTCCGTTTTCCGTTTTCTGTCTTGTTTTGTTTTGTTTTGCTTTTAGTTTTGATTACGCGCAAACACACGCGACAAATGAATGGAACGAAACTGTCTTAGGCAAACATTTTGCACCAGAAAACTTTGCACTCGCAAATTGCACTCAATTGATTTCAATTGCAACGACAAGCGGCGAGTCGAAGTTTTTGAACGTTTTTCAACCGTTTCAGATGATTGGATTCGACGCGAGAACACGACCGTACACAAGTGCGAGCTGCGAGCGAATGTCGAACAAGTTGACGCCGAGAATCCACCATCAGCAACATGAGCTGTAGCAAAGCCACCACCATCACCACCACCACTGCCAGTACTGCCCACACCACCAACGCAGAGCATTGTCTGTGGACCTGTGTTGAATTTGCAGCCCTCGCAGTGTGGTGAAGTTGAGTATACGCGCATAAGCCGAAGCACAGGCAACCTGTTGGTCAGCCAACTGTCATTGCCGATGATGTTGCTGGCGAACATCATGATGACGATGTTGCTGAGCATAATGATGCCATTGTTGGTGGTGGATGTTGTTTTTTTTTTTCGGCAACTGGCAACATAATAAAAGCGCGCTCGTAACTTGATTATGCAGCTATGATCAATAACACTGATTTCACGGGCAGGCAACAATAACAGCAGCAACAACAACAACAACAACAACAACAACAGCAACAACAACACACTCAAAGGCGAACTCCCAGGCAGCTCAAGCATCTGCTGGATGCTGGTCTCAGCTTTCGGTGAATATACTCTTTGATTTTACGGTACTTTAATAAAAATTTATATAATATTGAGCAATCGAGACAGACAGGATATAGGCTAGGGTGATTCGCAGAGGAATTTCAACTAAGAAATTAATATGAGTTAAAGCTGTATTTTAAAACATTAAAAGTTTGATAAAATTAAAAAAA